ACACACACACAGGACCCGTCTGTCAGACTGATATTCGCAGCTCTAAATGTCGCTCTGTCTGTCTCTCAGATCGGATGTTGGCCTTGATCCTCGTGACCAGCATCGCCATCATGGTCTTCCTCATCGTGGGTTTGGGGATCGCCCCGCGAGGCAAGAGGTCAGTGAGTTCTGGTCTCTGTATCGACGGACTGTCGACATGAATTACACGGATGGATCTGTAGATCTGCATCATTGGGTCACATGGCTCCAGAGTCTCGATCAGATGTTCAGTTCAGTCACGAAGTGTCACGAATCTGCAGACGTCCTTCAAATTTTCTCTTACTTTGAGTGAAAATCTGTCAAAATTCTGGTAGCATGCTTAGCTTTGAGAAACACATAAAACAAACCCAAATGCATTATTAAAAAAAACATATGTATGAAAAAACTCTGTGAGGCTAAGAGTTCAGGAGACAGAGAATGCTGTTAGGTCAGTATGAAAACAATAGACCTTTTTCACATTTCCAGGTTTCTCAGCAGCAGAAGTCGTCATTGTTAGGTTAACTTGAGGAGCAGTGAATGGGAGAGTGCCAGAGATATATTTGTTGCATTCCCATTTGCTCAAATAACAAAAGAAAAACTTGACGATAGTGTTTTCACGACTTTCAAAAAAAGGAAAAAAATTGAGCGAGACTGATAACGGCAGTCAGAAGAGAGAACGAGGTCAAATCCCTCGCATTAGAAACACTGCTAGTTTTTTATAAAAAACCTGAGGATTTACGATGCTGATGACCGTTGAAACGCATCATCACAGTCTTGTGAAAAGGGTTCATAGCAGTCTATGGCAAAACCCCATGAAAAGACCAAAACCAATGTGTACTTACATATTTTGAAGTGAGTTCAATCTGAGCAAACCTCCTTTCGGGGTTGGCCTCATTTGTAAAAACAAAGTAAATAAGTACTTTTGAATTGTTTTCTGTAAGGGTTAGTGTGTGGGTTAGGTTATAGTAATTATAACTAGCTGTCATTGACTTCTTTCTCTGCTTGTGTTTCTCCTGCAGAATTAAATCGTTCCTCCTGCCACCGATTCCCAAGCCGCGCATCCGAGGGATTGAACCGGTTCTGCTGAAGGTCTGAGAATCCGTCACACATCACACACCCATTTGAGTTATTAGTAGTGTTTAGATCACCTGCTTTACCTTCTGTCCTTTCTTGTTCCTCCAGAAGGGGAAGATTGACGAGATCAATCGTCGTTTCTCCAGCTTTCACGGCTATAAGTCGCCGCAGTACAGCATAGAGACGTGTTACCAGGTGAGCGTGGACCCATGTCTGTCTGCGACGCCGTATAAACGCGAGGACACACCGATCGCCGACAGACAACCGCCTGTGCAGACGAGCTGCAGTCCTGCGCCCTACTGCCGTGGCCCCGCCCCCTACTGCGAGGGAGCCATGTCTGCTTCAAACCCTGACCCCGCCCCCTTCTGCGAGGGAGCCACGCCTACTTTAAACCATGGCCACACCCCCTACAGTGAGGGAGCTCCGCCTCCTTCAAACCATGGCCCCTCTCCTTATTGTGTAGGAGCCCCGCCTCCTTCAAACCCTGGCTCCGCCCACCCGGAGCTCATGTGTGCCCCAGGCATGGACTACAGCATGATTCTAAACCCCGCCCTCACGCTGCCACAGGACTTCTACACCTGTGTGAAGGGCGTGACGCCCGGCGGAGCGCTGCACCTGGTGCCCTGTCTACCCGACGCACTGAAGAACACGCCCTACCTGCAGTTCACAGACGACTGCGCAGACAAGAGCAGCCAGCTGACGGTGCTGCTGGAGAAGCAGATGGAGGCGCTGTTGAGCTCGAGCGACTCGGACCCCAGCGAAGCTGCCCTGCCTTTGCTAACTCACTCATCAGACACGAACTGAGCACAAACCAGGAGCTAACGCACATGCGACATACAATCTCACACACACACACACACACACACTAACAGTCACGCAGTCTGTGCTGGATTGTCTCGATAGGACACATGACTGGTGTTTCTGTTCAGAACGAGCACATTCACTTCCAGCACAAGCATATTTTTTCACTGCACGATAAGAAACGAGGTTGTTGACGTTGAAGCATGATCAGATCAAAGCAGGAGCATCGCATCAGCGGATGTGATTTGAGCTATATTTGTGACCCTGGAGCACAAAACCAGTCATAAGGGTCAATTTTTCGAAATTGAGATTTATACATCAGCTGAAAGCTGAATAAATAATCTTTCCATTGATGTATGGTTTGTTAGGATAGCACAATATTTGAAAATCTGGAATCTGAGGGTGCAAAAAAATCTAAATATTGAGAAAATCATCTTTAAAGTTGTTCAAATGAAGTTCTTAGCAATGCATATTACTAATCAAACATTAAGTTTTTATATATTTACGGTAGGAAACTTACAAAATATCTTCATGGAACATGATCTTTACTTAATATCCTAATGATTTTTGGCATAAAAGAGAAATGTATAATTGTGACCCATACAATGTATTGTTGGCTATTGCTACAAATATCCCCCAGCGACTTAACACTGCTTTTGTGCTGCAGGGACACATATATTGAATTGGGTATCCAAAACTTTGTAGTTGTGATATGAATGGGAGAAAGTCATGTCAATTATTTACCGCTACCATTCAGATGCATATTTCCTCCTTGTGGAAATAAGATTTTACAGGCGGTTGAGGTTGTAATACTTATTAATAACTCACTTTATGTCATTATAGTTGTCAGTAAATGAAATAGTCACTGTAGTTGCTAGGGGTATAACGGTACACAATCATGACGGTTCGATACGTACCTCGGTTTTAGCGTCATGGTTTCGATACAGCAGGCGGGAAAAACTAAACATAAAATTGCTTTTTTCTTCTTCTTTTGTTACTAAACAGTGCTTTACTGAACAAATTGCTCTTTCAAATTCAGTTATAATTAAAATTTTCTTAGGGATAAAAATCTACCTCAGCTTATGCTCTAATTATAGGGAGCCCTTTTACATTACTACATTACATAATTTAGATACAAATAATTGGGTATCCAAAACTTTGTAGTTGTGATATGAATGAGAGAAAGTCATGTCAATTATTTACCGCTACCATTCAGATGCATATTTCCTCCTTGTGGAAATAAGATTTTACAGGCGGTTGAGGTTGTAATACTTATTAATAACTCACTTTATGTCATTATAGTTGTCAGTAAATGAAATAGTCACTGTAGTTGCTAGGGGTATAACGGTACACAATCATGACGGTTCGATACGTACCTCGGTTTTAGCGTCATGGTTTCGATACAGCAGGCGGGAAAAACTAAACATAAAATTGCTTTTTTCTTCTTCTTTTGTTACTAAACAGTGCTTTACTGAACAAATTGCTCTTTCAAATTCAGTTATAATTAAAATTTTCTTAGGGATAAAAATCTACCTCAGCTTATGCTCTAATTATAGGGAGCCCTTTTACATTACTACATTACATAATTTAGATACAAATATTAATTAATAACATGAAATATTTTTGTGAAATGAAATATAGTGTATTCGTTTCACAAAAATAAAGTTATTGCATGATTATGGCCTCGAACAACACAAGTGTGACTCCCAAATAAACAATACCAGAGAGTTAATTTAGGTTTTGTTCAGTTTCTAGAGCTCGAGTCCCATCCAGATGTGCTTTAAGTTCAGATGACATGAGAGAGAAAAACATGTCACTCAGAGCAAACGCTGAGGAATATGAAGAATATGGAAAACATGTATGTGTGCTCTGATTCAGATCGTCACTATTTCAGATGAAACCGCACAAACTGCGTCATCATTCAGGGACTGCACTGTAATACACTTACACACACACACACACACTCACACACTCACTCTGGTTTGTTTTTATGGTTTATGGGGACTCTCCATAGGCGTAATGGTTTTTATACTGTACAGACCGTATATTCTACTCACTCACTCACACACAATCACTCAAACACACACACACTCACTCACTCACTCACTCACTCACTCACACACACACACACATGAACAGCTGAACTCAAGCTTTATAAGCGATCACAGGGCCGTTCTGACGGATTTTTCTGGAGCCGATGGTCCTTCTGACTAGAACTAAAACACACTCAGATCTTAAAAATATTTTTGAATAATGGACCGCAGATTCTGGCATCTGCTCACTTCACTGTGATCCTCGCCCAGTGTCTGATGGGTAATAACACTTCTGTCGCACGTCTAGATGCAATTCTTAGGGATTTCGTGAAGCATCTACAAGCCATGAATATAAAAATATGCACACCAAAGACACGATGAGACGAGTGTACTGAATGTCAAGCGATCGGACGAAGCAGAAATGTGAATAAGAGTTGTAAAGAAACTCTGCTGTAAGACGGGCTCGTTGAGCGAGTCATGATGTGATGAATGTACGGTTGTGATGATGATGATGATGATGAGACGCGCGACACAATCCCACTAGAGCGAAGAAAGCCAAACGTTCACTCGCTTTGTGGATGTTGAGGCTTTATTTTATTAAACTACAGCAGTTTCCATGAATGCAGTGAACTCTGGAGCTACTGTTTAAGACATTAGACACAAAACCCAACCATCATCTCACACAAGATTAACACTGCACCAGAAGTAGCTCGTTCAGACCTCATCAAAGGTTTGCGACAGATTCATTTATCCGTAAACGTGTGGCGTAGTTTGTAAATGTGCTTGTGATGAGTTTTGTTTAATCGTGATGTTTGATTAATGTTACACAAACTGAATCAGGGTTTTAATTGTGTTGGACTTCATTCACTAGAAATTACATCATGATGATGTTTTGTACCAGATTCATGACGAGTGCTGTATACAACTACTGAAGATTAGAACAACACTTTATGATCAACAAAATTACTGTTTTATTTTTATATGTTTGTTCTGGGCTATTAAGCAGTTTGATATGAGCTCTTTATAAAAAAAAGTGTCATAAAATATATATATATATATATATACAGACAGAGAGATAATGTTACTATAACCAGAATCTGAGTGTGTGTGAGCGTGTGTGAGAGAGAGAGAGTGTGTGTGTGTGTGTGTGTGTCTGTGCCTCATAACTCCTGCAGGTCTTTCCTGCTGTTACAAATGTTCATAAACATTCTACTGTTATTTCTGCGGATCAACTATAGAAACAGGTTAGAGAGGTTCTGATATATTTAAAGAGAGGTTTATAGAGTAATAAAAGTGTCCGCTGTAAAAGAGCAGTATATATTCTGACATGGTTTTGTACATTAGATTATTTTCGTGTGCTTTCTGTAAGCGTTTGTTTCTCATATAAATTTTGTCATCTGTGGGAAAATCGTATTCCCATGTGGTCAAATAAAGATGAGCTGAAAGAGTGTGTGGTGTTTTTGTGGTTTACACACACACACACACACACA